GTTTAGGGTGTAGCCCCTCAACTATGAGCTTTAAACCCTAAACCCCATAATTCCTAAAGCCTAAACCATTTGCGTGGTATTTTATTTGGGGATAGTATGGTACCCATTGTAGAGTAAGATTCTATCCTCGTTTTGGGGTATAGTAATTTATATAATGAGTATAATCTTACTAGGTTCAACCACCAAAAAACCCCTTACTTAATATAACCCCAATATATCCCCAATATATACCCTATCATAATATTGTAGTTTCCATTTTCTTTTCCATTATCCCTATATAACTAGGTTCAACCACTAAAAAACACTACTCGGTTGGAGCCCTTGGCCGTCCCATCCCCAAGCCCGGGGTTCAAAATTTAGAGTTTAGTGTTTAGGGGTTTGAGGTTCATGGGTTTAGGGTTTAGGGTTTTAGGGTTGAGGGTTTTAGGGTTTAGGGTGGTTAAGGGCTTGAGGTTAAGGGATTCAGTGTTTATGATTTAGGGTTTTGGGTTTTGGGGTTGAGGGGTTTGGGGCTAAATCATTCCCTACAGACCGTCATGCAGTCGCTGCATACTTGAGTGAGTACTAGAGGCCCGCACCAGGCACCTTCTGGTGATTCTCATGCCATAGATAGATAACTAGGTACTCACAAAAAGGAGATAGGATATGAGCCTTTACCTAAACCCCAAAAAATTGTAAAATAATTGCCCTAAACCCATAATATCAGCCATAAAGGCTATTATTTTTCATACCTTTGGGGTTCAGGTAGGCATTATTACCCCTGAAGAAAGTTGAAGAGGAGACTGTTGGCTTAGCAAGCCACCTGTCCTCTGCAAGTCCAAGTATCCAATACCCACTTGCTTCCAGGACTACGGTTACTAGTCCCCCAGGAACCTAAGAACCTTTGATCCAAACTCTGAACCCTAAACCCTGATTCCTAAGCCCTAAACCTGCATTCATGCAGCCGGAAAAAATGTTCGAGAAAAACAAGCCTAAACCTTGATCTCTGAATCATAAACCGTAATCCCTAAACAGTTGGACCCAGAAACAAACAACCTTAATCTGGGAATCATAAACTGTAATCCCTAAACAGTTGTCAGAGGGATCCCCTTTCTTCGAGGCCACGTCAGCTGGGCATTTGCGGCCCCCGGCCATGTTCAGCTTCCCCCAGCGCTACATTCAGGCCTCCTTGCCTTGACATTAAGTGAGTAGTATTTCATTTGGGGATACTATGGTACCCAATATAGAGTAAGATTATATCCTCCTTTTGGGGTATAGTGTTTTATATAAGGAATATAATCTTACTAGGTTCAACCGCCTGGACATTAACTTCCCTGGTGCTTAGGAGGGAATGGGGGATGGATCTCTATAGTAGTCCCTATATAATCCCTAATAGTTATCCCTATAATCCAGTCCCCATTCCCTCCTAAGCACCAGGGAGATTAAGTTCCTGAACATTGTGCAAATTCAGGGATTAGGGTTTTCCAGGGTTCAGGGCTTAGGGTGTAGGGTTCAAAATGAGAAAAATAAGCTCAAGCTATATATGGTCCCGCGCTCTGCGTTCCCAGCCAACCCCCCCCCCACCCCCGCAATGGTATCCCCCCCACCCCCCCAAGGTATGCTTCGAAGGTGTTAAAAGTAACAGGGATGGGCCCGCTCGGGGTCGCCATCCTAATTAGTAACTATCGTCGTTTTTGGCGCCTCAGAGCCCCCATTCGTGTAAATGTCGTCACTTTTGGCCCCTCATGCTCTCGCCGCGCTTCAAAATACAAGCAGTCACAGGGATCGGGGTGGTCCTCATCGCGATGCTCAGAACTTTCGTCACTTTTGGTGCCTTGTGTTTATGTCGCCCTTTAAAGGTATTTACAGTCACAGGTATAAGCCTTCTATAGAACCATGAATCTATGAAGACTATAGATGCGTTATATTCCCTCCATGAACCGAACGTAAAGACACAGGGGCGGTGGGGGTGGGGGTAATAGGTTCTGAATCCAGTACAACAATGCAAACCCTCTCTAAACTTTAATCTAACTTACAAGACCCAGACCACAGGCGACAGGACCACAGGGGGGGGGGAGGGGGTTATAGCT